AAAATTAAGTGACTATGCTTAAAATAACAAAAGTATCTTAACCCATTGGAATATATGGTCAATAGAATGCTTTATATTTATATTTTATGTTAAGCAAAGGAGTTATGACTAAGGCCCAAGCCATTGTTCTTTTTTCCTCTTGGATAATTCATTTTCATATGCTTTTTATCCACACCATCAAATCCATTGATATTTGCAAGGTACAATCTGTAAATTCTTTCTCTTTTTTTTTTCTTGAATTATGTAAAAATTAGTGCTGACAAATAATTAATCGCGATTAATCACATCCAAAATAAACGTTTTTGTTTACATAATATGCGCGTGTGTACTGTGTATATTTATATATATATATATATATATACAAACACATGTATGTAAATATTTAAGAAAAATGTTGTTTATATAATATATATATATATATAAGAATATAAATATATACATGTAAATATTTTCAAAATACATACTGTATGTGTGTGCTTTTATATATACACATAATAAATATACACAGTACACACACACACATATAATGTAAACAAAAACTTTTATTTTGGATGCGATTAGTCACGATTAATCGTTTGACTGCACTAGTAAAAATGTATTCGATTTACTTTTTTACTGTTGTGACAAGTTTCCATAATGCATATTTATCAAAATATATTTTATATGAAGTGTATATGCATAAAGTAAAACATTTAAGATGTATAAATGTGAATATAAAGGTTAATTATGTGTTTCAATTTACACATTGTTTGGTGAACAAGGATGTGGAATGGTCCCGATCCCAATTGCCCACTCGCTCTCTTGCCCTACTTTCCTGTCTATACTCCACTGTCTTATTCAGAGAGACTAAACTAAATCCAAAAATAAAATGCGAGAGGTCATAATGGCAGGGTTTGGAAAAATCCTATTTGAAAAACTATAAGCAATTAGTAACAGATGCTTATCTTAGCAAACACCGCTATGTTATTTTCACTGGGTATTTGCAGGTTTTGTAGAGTTGGATTTAAAACTTTTTAAGACCTTTCTGATGCCACTTCAAGTGAAATTAAAGGCCAATTTCACAGTAACAAAAGGGCTCAATTCTAGCATTTCTGAGCTTTTTTGACAGGTTTTTCCCACCATTTTGTGCTTTGAACTCTGATTCCACTGTCTGCATTCTTATAATATACATTAAAATGACCATGTATACACCTGGCCAGTTTCTAATAAGAAAAAAGTTCATTATTATAAAAAAATAAAAATAAAAAATAAGCTTTTCTGACTACCCCAAGTATGTGCTTTCAGTGATCTGATCACAAAATGTTTTAGACCTGATTTTTCCTTTGCTTTTGATTTTATATGGTTTGTTCTGGCATACAGATTTATGGATGTGTGAACTAATATGTTAATAATTAATCCTCTATGCTCCGCTTCTTTTCCTTATGTTTTAAACTGTACTTTGTTTTCAGTACCTGTTATGATGTTAAATGAAAAACAACATTGCTTTCTGTAGTCAAGGTCATTCTGTTCTGAGAGGCTTGGGCGGTGGAGAGTGGTTTTATCAAGAAGATATTAGCACGCTTAGGGAGAGAGTAGATAAGGGACTTTAACTCCATGTCAGCAGCTGGAGTGATTCTCATTCTTCTGATTTCACAAGCGATCTCATGGATGGGTGGAACATTAACTTATATAACATTACTTAGTGCTGGGCGGTATACCGGTTCATACCGAATACCGGTGTTTATTTTTGTTATGATATGAATTTTTAAAATAACGCAATACCGGTGTACGTCGCTTAAACAACGTTGGGAACGCAACACTGTTTGAAAGAAGTCCCTTTTCACTGTTGCACTGTGGCGAGGGAACAGCTGTATGTGTTACGAAGCGTGAAAGTTCTGAAACTGAAGCTGTAGAACTAATAGAACGTGATGACACAGAAGATCCATGTCAGCAGCTGGAGTGATTCTCATTCTTCTGATTTCACAAGCGCTCTCATGGATGGGTGGAACATTAACTTATATAACATTACTTAGTGCTGGGCGGTATACCGGTTCATACCGAATACCGGTGTTTATTTTTGTTATGATATGAATTTTTAAAATAACGCAATACCGGTGTACGTCGCTTAAACAACGTTGGGAACGCAACACTGTTTGAAAGAAGTCCCTTTTCACTGTTGCACTGTGGCGAGGGAACAGCTGTATGTGTTACGAAGCGTGAAAGTTCTGAAACTGAAGCTGTAGAACTAATAGAACATGATGACACAGAAGAACTCATCCACAATATCCACATTGACCGCCACAAATATCCACCGCCCCCTGCCATCAGCTCCCGCGTCTCACACACACACGAGGAAATCAAAATCGTGAATCGAATCGTGAGTTGAGTGAATCGTTACATCCCTAGTGCTTAGTCACTATTTAGTGGTATTTTTGACAATATTCACTCATCATGACAGTAAAATAGGGCATTCTAAGTCAATATACTGCAGTATTTACTCTCTCAATCAGTAGAAAATATGGTTAACACCCGGTCATGCGTGAAAAAAAAATACCGTCATGTACCGTGAAACCGGTATAATTTTGAAAAATACCGTGATATAAATTTTTGGTCATACCGCCCAGCACTAACATTACTCACATTTAAAACACGGTTGTAATTTAATATCCTGTTCCTCAACAAAGGCCAGAATTGATCACCTCAGCACAGTTACAGAAGCAATACAGGAGGAAACTAAACAGTTTTACTCCCACTACAATGAATATATTTTTACCTAGTACACAAATCCTGTACATTTTCAAATCTCAAAAAAAATAAAAGTTTTAGTTAACGAACATGCATTGTATAAAATATAAACGTATAGCCCACACGAGTCTGGCCTACATGCTGTTTTATTACTGATTTTATTATTACTTTGTTAACAACTACATTATGCACCTGCTTTCCAACACCAATGCCAAATGAGATATTGCTTCAAAACGAAATGACATTAGAGCAAAGCAACCAGATTCAGTGGATTGTTTGGGTTTTATCACTAGATGGCAGAAACGTGCACTGCGGGTAATCAACCCAATACATTTGTATTTGAAGAACTTTGCCATCGCTACTTAGCGACACCAGTTAAATCTGATTCTAATATTCTCAGTTCTCACTATAACATTGCTTGTTTGAAAATCATATTTCACACACATTTGTTTACTCGCATTCAAAGGACGCAGTGGGTCTGTTTTCAGTCAGCTACATAGACAGCATTTTTGGGCGGATTTGAACATGTCTCTTCGCACCTAGACGCGCTGTCTATGTAGGCAGCACACGACAATTAGAGACACAACCGGAGTTTTAGCTTTAGCACAGCGGCTAACACGGATAGTCAAACAGGTTGACTTACATCAGCTGCGGCTCCACGGATCCAAGATACAGACCGATGAGTTTTTTCAGACTGGTCCGTGTTTAAAGTGTTTAAAGATGCCGTGTGTTTGTGTGAGACCGCCGCGCGAGTATCATCCACCTGCCATGAAGCGCAGGAGATGTTTGGATGATTTGAAGTGCACCTCTGTTCTTCTAAATAAACAAGCACGACTCTCATTGGCCAGCCTGTTGTCAAGCAACCAGCAACTCGCCATTTGATTGGCTGGATCATCCTTACAACACGCAACAGGTGTTTAACGCCTTCCTACAGAGAACTAACTGTAAATAATAAAATACACAAAGAAATGTTATTGATTTACTTGATTTTGTTTAACATTTATTTGTTGTATTATATCTATTTAACCTATTTTCACTTGTCTTTTATTAACTGATTTATTTTCTTCTGTATGGTCGAAACATGGAATATATATATATATATATAAAATGCTAGTGATGTCAGACGATTAATCGCGTCCAAAATAAAAGTTTTTGTTTACATAATATATGTGTGTGTGTACTGTGTATATTTATTATGTAGGCTATATATAAATACACACATGCATGTATATATTTAAGACAAATATGTTATGTTTATATATTAAATATATTTATATATAATATAAATTATGTTAATATAAATATATACATGTAAATATTTTCAAAATATATACTGTACGTGTGTATTTAGGGCCTATATATACATAATAAATATACACAGTACACACATATAATATGTACTTTTATGTACAAAGACTTTTATTTTGGATGCGATTAATCGCGATTAATTGTTTGACAGCTCAAAAAATACGCAACTAAATAAATAAATAAACTCAGTCAAAATAATCTCTCTCTGCATAAAAATTGTATGCACATTTTTATTTATTTTTATAACTATTTATTAATCACTTTGCTCCTAAATATTTAAGGTTGTGTCCTTAATACTGTTTCACCATGGCCTATAACATACGTTTTACCAAGTTTTAGTGACTGGTTATCTGCTGCTGACGTCATATTTTCACGCATACATGCACGCGCTTGATATTTAATCAGGAACTCAAGACCAAAGTCTGAGCTGACAGAGAAACTTGATCATTTTTGTTTTGTCAGTTTATTGACAAAATTGAATTGCTGAGTTTACGGCTGTTTGCAGAAACCGTATTATGAACAGAAGAAAATGCATTCAGTCACAGGCCTCCTTATTCTCAGTAAAAAGTCAAACCACAGTTTTCTAATTGTGCTATTCATATGCATTTTATTTAATATGTAGCTTGATTTATTAGAAATTATTATTATAATTAATTTATTAATGTACATTTATTATCATTTGCTATAACATATTATATGTTTGATCTTGCCTAAGGGAACCATATACAATAAATTATACAATAATAATGCATAAGTTGGATGCTTCATCAGCCTTTATGAGCTGTATTTGGCTCCTCCCAGAATCATTCAAGATTTTCTCCTCCCTTTCAAAATATGCATGTTTTATTATTGGTATTAACAATTTTTTCGTGCTGTCCATGATCCTGTAAAAAAAGACCTGCAACCCATTTCTGGTCACGGCCCACCAATCGACAGCCACTGGTTTGCAGCAATGCATGAGACGCTGAGCAATGCAGTTTTCTCATCTGTTTCAGGTGCAGTTCACACAAGGAGCACAAAGGCACCAGAAGGTGGAGGATTCCTCATCCACAATGTTCTTCCCCGACTTCGGTGGGTCTTTGCATTCAGCTATGAAAGCCTGCAGCTCTGATAGCGGCGCTCCATGCTTCTGATAGTGCTGCAGGTAAAGAGAGAGCAGAGTCATGATGTGTGATCATTCACGGTGCTTGCTAAGACTGTCAGCCTCACAGTTAGTTCACAGTGTTCATAGTCACAATAGGCCCATCACTACTCCTCACAACTAACCCAAACTTCAGCACATAACTTGCACATAATCGATCGCATCCTAGTAATCACGCATCAGTGCGTCAGCTCACCACAAAACCAAAGCATGCACTTGAATAGACTCACCTTGATGGTTTCATAGGTGTCTGTGATAAGGGCAATGAAGAGGCTCAGAATCATGAATGTAAAGAGTGGGACGAAGGTGTAGATATACATTCTGCTGAACATCCACACCAGATCATTCTTGTCTCGGATTTTGGTAAAGGTTGAGTAGATTTCATCCCCATTAATCATGGAAAAAAGGCAGTTCGCTACCATATTAAATGACCGAAACTGTGGAGAAATAAGCATTTTCATCATTTTCTTCATAAAGCAGGGATGCCATTGTTTTATTTTATTTAAATGCTTAATTTAAGCCACTTAAATGGCTAGCTGATATTAAATACTCATACTCCATCTAAAACTATTTTTTATGCATGTAGCTTTTGTGAGCTCATGTTCATCATGTATAAACTACACTGAATATTTCATGTACTTTTAAAAATTAATTTGTAACACTGCATGCATAGCCATTTCATATGTTTACACTTTATCTATACAATATTTATTTTCTTTCATTTTTACTGTTGAAAGCAGGATTTAATTTTTTTAATTTTCACGCTGTACATTAGCAAACAGCAGGTTAAGGCCTTTATTTGCACATTTGCAGTGTCAAAATTACTGATTGAATAAACACATCAAGTAATCTATTTAAATAATGGTTTATCTCGCAGGGTTTAGGGTTGATTTTATTTGTGAAAAATAAAATGGCTTTGCAAAAATGGTCCTATAGCACATTAAATTAGATTTTACAGATACAAATATTCTATTAATCCTCATATAGTATGAAGCCATACAAAGAAAAAAAAATATGTCCACTGTATAGAATAATGACAACACTGTACATATACTGTGATTATATAAAGACAAGACAATATATAATAATGTAAGGAGTATACGCAGAAGTATAAGCATGTGAAATGTTTGACACAACGTCTGAAGCAATAAAAGTCAAACTTTTCACAGTTCATGCTGGCTTTGGTATGTTATAGTTATGAATATATTTTTTAATATTGCTCACGTTTTCATGGTGTGGCCCCAAAACGATCCATCCGCAGAAGCAGTAGCTAAGAAAGATCATAACAGCGCAGAAGGAGAATCGAATGACGTTAGGAAGTGCAGCCTGCAGAGTGAGGATGAGGATCTGGAGACACAAGAAATACAGACTCATCACTGTCTAACATTAATTACTAAATACACTGAAATACACTAAAAGGTGTTTCGCCAATGCTACTTAATGTGGCTTAATGTTTAAAACACACACACACACACACACACACACACACACACACAAAACGAATAAATGAGCGACTTACATAATATTTCTGAAAGAACCTCAGGTAATGCATTACTCCAATCCACACAAGCATTGTTGCTGTGCCCAGTAAAATACTGCACACATCATAACTTGTCAGTTCCTGAAAACAAGACAAGTACTGAGCATTAGTGCATGCATCTACACTATTGTGCCTGTCAGCTCATATGATGAACAGAAACAGACCGTGACTTAAAGGGGTCATATGATGCAATTTCATTTTTTCCTTTCTCTTTGGAGTGTTACAAGCTCTTGGTGCATAAAGAAGCTCTGTAAAGTTGCAAAGACTAAAGTCTCAAATCCAAAGAGATATTCTTTATAAAAGTTCAGAGTCAGCCACACCTACCTAAAACGGCTCTGGAAAATAATGTGTTTTTTTAACTTTAAACCGCATAAACACATTTCATTACACCAAATACACCAAATAATGTTCTTTTTAGCAGCATCATATGACCCCTTTAATTCCTTTTAAAGCCTCTTGCGCATCTCTTGCTCACCTTGCTCTGTATGCATATTTTGAGAGCTGATCCTACAATAGTCAGCGTGTCACTGATGATGATGAGAATGTACCAGCCGTTGATGAACTCCATTCTCTCAGACCAGCAAACTCTTTTATTGAGGTAAATGGATGAGAATGTGGTGTACTCCTGATGAGAAAGCACACGCATATGACATGTTAGTAGCAGGAATTTATTGTTTTTTTAAAGTATGATATAACTCACTTGACGTCTGTGCTGCAGTCATTTTGGATAAAATATGTAATTTGGGTAACACTTTAAAGACTGATTCTCACTATTAATGAGTTGCTTATTAGCAAGCATATTACTGGCATATTGGCTGTTTATTAGTATTTATAAAGCACATCTTAATGTCTTATTCTGTATGACCATATTGTAGATCCCTTAAACAAAACCCCAAACACCTCACTAACAATTAATAAGCAGCAAATTAAGACATAGACAAAAGTCATAATTAATAGTTAGGCTAGTCATTAGTGAAAATTAGTCCACAAACTAAAGTGTGACCCCAAATATGGTTGTAAAGTCTTTTCCATAACCTACTGACTTTAATTTCTTAATTTTATGACTTTATTCCTGTAATATGACAACTTCACAACATTCTATTTTATTCCTATGTACCTAAAAATAGAATAGAATAGAATAGAATAGAATAGAATAGAATAGTGGTTTTTTGGGCTTGTAATTGTAGAGCTACACTTAAAGGGATAGTTCACCAAAAAATGAAAATTTGCTGTTAATTTAGTGTTCAGTTTCTTGCGCAGACCAATCGTTTCACTTCATAAGACCTCAATATATTGTCAAAAGCCACAGGGATTAATTTTGTGTTTTCTGCATGTGCTTTTTTGAGTCTCAAAGTGCCGGTAGCCATTGACTTGCATTTTATGAATCACCAATGAACACGGTTTCAGCTTAAAATCTTCTTTACTGTTCTACTAAAGAAAAAAGTCACCTCTGGCCATTTTCCCAGTCTTATGAAGTGAAACGATTGGTCTGCGGAAGAAACTGAACACTAAATTAACAGCAAATGTTAATTTTTAGGTGAACTATCCCTTTAATGGGACGGCCATATCAGACTTACAAACTGCAAGAGCATGCCGTTGTAGACTGAGCGTGTGCAGAGGATGAGCGAGAGCAAACAGGAGCAGATCACCACACAGTCGAACAGAACGATGAGCTGATAGTGAAGTTCTGCTGGAACAAACACAGCAAAACAGACTTTCAGACATTTTCTCACATACTATTAGTTAGTTACATGGACAACATAGGTAAATCAGTGACTAGAAATGTATTCATCATCCTCATTTTTATTAGTTCAGAGTCATGCAGTGGATAACTGATCACATGAACATGTTGAGTGGGGGGGTGTATCGAAAATCGGTAAGGAATGAAGCTACAGAGGCCCTAGAAAGAACTTGGAAACTTAAGGATAATACAAGTACATGTTCAAGTTTGCAAGGTGTAATACGAACAGTACTTGGATACTTTTTTGGCTGTCAAATAAAAGTACAGTGAGAATTTCAGCACAAAGCTTCCATTTTATTGGTCAAAAACTGAGATTTAGTAGTAAGCAGCTAAACATTTGTGACCCTGGAGCACAAAAGCAGTCTTAAGTCGCTGGGGTATATTTGTAGCAATAGCCAACAATACATTGTATGGGTCAAAATTATTGATTTTTCTTTTATGCCAAAAATCATTAGGATGTTAAGTAAAGATCATGTTCCATGAAGATATTTAAGATGATTTTCTCAATATTTTGATTTTTTTGCACCCTCAAATAGTTGTATCTCGGCCAAATATTGTCCGATCCTAACAAACCATACATCAATGGAAAGCTTATTTATTCAGCTTTCAGATGATGCATAAAAACCCTTATGACTGGTTTTGTCATAGGGGCAGAGCTACATAAGGTCTATATGTCCACTGAAAATCACCTGGACAGCAAGTGGATCATAAAAGTGAAGCCAGCTCTAAGAAAAGTTGTGGCATTACGTGTTTGCAGATTGGTCACTTGTTTGATATTTAGTATATAATCATTCATAAATGTTTAAACCTGCCTGAAGTTTCCAAATATGCTCTAATAATTTAGTTAATGTCATGACTATGATGACTGCTGATTTTGTATAGAGGGGATTTTGTGTTCTTTTGTGTGTGTGTGTGTGAGTGTGTGTGTGAGTGTGTACCTACTTAACCATATTTGGGGGAAAAATTTGTACCCAAAAGTGAGCTAAATCTGACAAAATCTCCACCAAGTAAATCAATCAAAGACCAAAAGTTATTTAATTTTACAGCACATTTAACTTCTATCACAAAAGTCTTTGGTTTTTCATCTTAATGTGACAGTGGATGTTTACTATTTAGAAAACTGTGCGCAATAACTGTATGACTTCTGCCATCCTTACCACAGTAATTACATTAGATTGTACAGCTGTGTTATTATGACAAATGATGATGTACCTGTCTCTACATGTGGATCAATATCAAAAGTCTCATTGGCTGGTAAAACGTTAGCATGTCGATATAAGTCTTGACAGATGGACAGAGGAGTGAACACGTCATCAATCCTCTCAAACGCATGATTATCAACAGTCAGGTTTTGTAGCTGTAGATACTAAAAAAACAATCAGACAAATCAGATGCAAGCGATAAAAGAGATTAAATCACGCCACCTCTATGAAACGTAATGTTTACCGCATATATAGTGCTTGTTTTGCACATTTACATGCATTTCATGATTAATATTTAGTAAACTCCACAGGTCTGTACAAATCCTAGAGAACAATGTTATCCTGCATGATTTCAGCATATTCCATTTGCATATTCAGTCTGCATTCGTAGGAGAGGAGGGGTAGATTTAAGTTGAGTTTCTTTGAAAATCCGATCTTTTTCTGCTTATTTTAATGTTCCAGTTCTCACTGTACATTATAAATATGCACTGAAAAAAACTGAAACAATGTCATTTATTTAAAATGCATTGTCTAATCAGATAATAATGGAAAATCATGGTTTTCAGTTTCAACCTTTTCTGTTTAGTGTGTCTAAAAACAAATAACACTCTTCATAGAAAAATTAAAAGAAACAATTTTGTTTAAATAGTGTGTTGATGTGCGGAACACATACTGGTTTACTAGTGTTACTGACTGCAGAAATTATCGTGGGTTGGTTGGTTTATTTATTTATGATAGATTTTTTAAAAGATTATATTTTTTAAAAGACATCACAATAAACATTGAGGTCTTTCAAAAACAATGTTGCCATCTTTAAGTGAACTAAATTAAACATTGAGTAACAAAATGTTTTTAGTTGATCTTGAGTAAATTAAACATTTGTGACCCTGGACCACAAAACCAGCCACAAGGGTCAATTTTTCGAAATTGAGATTTATACATCATTAGGATATTTGACCGAGATACAACTATTTGAAAATCTGGAATCTGAGGGTGCAAAAAAAATCTAAATATTGAGAAAATCATCTTTAAAGTTGTCCAAATGAAGCTCTTAGCAATGCATATTACTAATCAACTTTTAATATATTTACGGTAGGAAATTTACAAAATATCTTCATGGAACATGATCTTTACTTAATATCCTAATGATTTTTGGCATAAAAGAAAAATCAATAATTTTGACCCATACAATGTATTGTTGGCTATTGCTACAAATATACCCCAGCGACTTAACACTGCTTTTGTGCTCCAGGGTCACAAATGGTTACTGTATTTTTAGGGCAACAGTAAATGCTGTTCTTTTGAGCTTTCTATCAAAATCAAAGAATCCAAGATAAATAACTAAATAAATAATCAGAAAAAAATTAAATAACGTTTTAATGGTTTCCACAAAACATTAAGCAGCACAACTATTTTAAACACTTTTAATACTGATGATGATTAGAATGATTTCTGAAGGATCATGTGACACTGAAGTAATGATGAGAAATGATGCTGAAAATTCAGCTTCGCCATCACAAATTACATTTTTAGAATATAGTAAAATAGAAACAGATATTGTAAATAGTATTAATATCTGACAGCATTACTGTTTTCACTGTATTTTTGTTCAAATACAACCTTGATGAGACATTTCAAAAACATCAAAAATTCCTACACCATGATAACTTAATAAAATAAACTGAATATTTTTGCCATTGTGTCATGTTGGTTTACTGCTTGTTATGTAACACTTCAGCTAATCCACGTCATCACACATTTGCGAGATTTCGTTAAAGTTGAGTGTTTTCATTTGTGCGCCTCTTGCTTTGAAGACAGCAGCAGGGTTTGATGAGGTGAAGGGTCCCGAACGCATCCCCCGGAGGCCCTTGTGAAGGGCATCCATGTGGCATAACGTTCCAAGAAGAACCTCATCATGCCAGCTAATTTGTTTGAGCAGGTGTTTATACAAAAAGGGAAGACAAAAAGGGGGTAGACTTGTTATGCCTTATATAACACACTGGCAGATGACTAATTATCGTTATATGTAAATAAATACCTTTGCAGTGTTAGTTTTAGTAGAACTCTTTTTGTATTACCGTTTCATTTCCTATTCAGACTTCAGAGACATTAAGTATTGCTTAGAGGAGATGACCGAACACATAGGAGGGAGAGAGAGCAAAAGCATGCAGGTGTTTCCAGAGATAAATCCAAAAGATCCTCCCCCGCTGTGCGTCAGGCAGCCACAACCTCGGCAGTCATGAGAGGTAATTAAAATCAGCGCTATCATTGCATGTTTGGAGAGGTGCACTTTAGGGAGGAAGGATGCTCTGGCACTTCAGCGGAGGAGGGAACAGAGCAAAATCATCAGCCATTGTGTACAGAGGCTGCCTCCCACTCAACTGCCTCACAAAGCTCTGATTTACTCCCATGTCGATGAGGGTACCAATGCAAATGCAAACACAAATGCATGGAAATTATCGTACATGATGTGGACATCTCCGACACGACGCGGGACAAGCGCAGTGTCCCTGTTGCACATCTTGCAGTATAATTTACATGTTATGATCCGGAAACACAAATAGGGAGAGGAGAGATGAGGAGAGTTTGTGCTCAAGGAGGGAGTTTTTGGGTCACTGGCTCTCTCTTAGTTGCCCACTTGGTAGTGACAGCTGGCAGCTGGGAGCCAGCTTTGCCCCTTGGTGAACACCTGGGTAAAATCCCCCTCGGCCTGTCATAGAATCCCAGAAGCTCCTTCTCACCTCCTGAGGGAGGGCAATTTTCTCTCCTGCTTTTGCCTGTGGGTTTTTATCTCAAGTGGATATTTCAACAATTTCAACAACAAAAAGAAATATTCCCAACATGAAAATTTGGGAGTAGAAGCAAAGCTTAGCATTATACAAAAAGTAAAGAATAAAAAAAGTCTATAGAGATGCACAGATAGGCCTTTAAATGCTAGTGAATTTAGGCGTCACAACATTACAATTCAATTTTTGTTCATTTTGAAAAATGGATATTCATTTTTATATTAGGTAACATTTACATTTAACAGTTTAATTAAATTCTGAGTATTTAAAAAAAATTACCTTCAAGAGAATGTTACATGACAGCTATCTAAATCTAAAAATAGGGGAAACATATAGCATTAACAATTAAAGATCAAATATAGAACAATACTTTTATTTAAAATGAAAATATATCCAATTTATCTCTAATATATAATCAACAAAATACCATTGAGCAGCAAATCAGCATATTAGACATCTGACGGATCATGTGACACTGAAGACTGGAGTAATGGCAGCTGAAAATACAGCTTTGCCATCACAGGAATCAATTATATTATAAATATATTAAAATAGAAAACAGTAACTTTAAATTGTAATAATATTTCACAGTTTACTGTTTTTACCTTTATCAAGTAGATGCAACCTTGAAAAACATTCTTTCAAAAACATTTTTAAAAATTCTTACCAGCTCCATACTTTCGAATTTTAGTGTACATAAAACACAATAATTGAATAAAATTAATTAATTATTTGCCAACATTCTTATGTTGGTTTACTGCTTGTTACGTAACACTTTAGTATATATATATATAAAAATATTATTTGTATTGTTATTACTCTCCATAACTGATAAGATGTATTTAATATATTTAATAAAAACACAGACACTGGTGCGATCATTTAGCATCAGACAGGCAGAAATAAATAGCTGAATCAATAGCTGGTTCCTGATTACAGCACATTTAACTTCTATCACAAAAGTCTTTGGTTTTCCATCTTAATGTGACAGTGGATGTTTACTATTTAGAAGACTGTGCGCAATAACTGTATGACTTCTGCCATCCTTACCACAGTAATTACATTAGATTGTACAGCTGTGTTATTATGACAAATGATGATGTACCTGTCTCTACATGTGGATCAATATCAAAAGTCTCATTGGCTGGTAAAACGTTAGCATGTCGATATAAGTCTTGACAGATGGACAGAGGAGTGAACACGTCATCAATCCTCTCAAACGCATGATTATCAACAGTCAGGTTTTGTAGCTGTAGATACTAAAAAAACAATCAGACAAATCAGATGCAAGCGATAAAAGAGATTAAATCACGCCACCTCTATGAAACGTAATGTTTACCGCATATATAGTGCTTGTTTTGCACATTTACATGCATTTCATGATTAATATTTAGTAAACTCCACAGGTCTGTACAAATCCTAGAGAACAATGTTATCCTGCATGATTTCAGCATATTCCATTTGCATATTCAGTCTGCATTCGTAGGAGAGGAGGGGTAGATTTAAGTTGAGTTTCTTTGAAAATCCGATCTTTTTCTGCTTATTTTAATGTTCCAGTTCTCACTGTACATTATAAATATGCACTGAAAAAAACTGAAACAATGTCATTTATTTAAAATGCATTGTCTAATCAGATAATAATGGAAAATCATGGTTTTCAGTTTCAACCTTTTCTGTCTGTTGTGTGTAAAAACAAATAACTCTTCATAGAAAAATTAAAAGAAACAATTTTGTTTAAATAGTGTGTTGATGTGCGGAACACATACTGGTTTACTAGTGTTACTGACTGCAGAAATTATCGTGGGTTGGTTGGTTTATTTATTTATGATAGATTTTTTAAAAGATTATATTTTTTAAAAGACATCACAATAAACATTGAGGTCTTTCAAAAACAATGTTGCCATCTTTAAGTGAACTAAATTAAACATTGAGTAACAAAATGTTTTTAGTTGATCTTGAGTAAATTAAACATTTGTGACCCTGGACCACAAAACCAGCCACAAGGGTCAATTTTTCGAAATTGAGATTTATACATCATTAGGATATTTGACCGAGATACAACTATTTGAAAATCTGGAATCTGAGGGTGCAAAAAAAATCTAAATATTGAGAAAATCATCTTTAAAGTTGTCCAAATGAAGCTCTTAGCAATGCATATTACTAATCAACTTTTAATATATTTACGGTAGGAAATTTACAAAATATCTTCACGAAATGTTTTTTTAGTTTACCTTGAGTAAACATTTGACTTCCATATTATAAGTAATTTAGCTTTTGTTTATGGTGAAATAAATAAATAAATATATATTGTATATTGCAATAAATAAATATATATTGCTTGTATCTAAAGAAAATAAATTAAGTTTATGGTTAAACTTAAAGAGTTTTAAAAGTTAAAACTTAAAAGTTTTTATTTTATTTATTTATTTATTTATTTTTGAAGTTGGTCCAAAGTATGCTTTTTTTCAGTGTGTACACTGTAAAATATGACCGTGAATTAAACGGTAAAAGACTGTAAAAATGCTACAGTAAAAACCTGTTAAATGGTTAACGGTAAATTCCCCTACTGTATACGGTGAAAAACTGTATTGGACATTACATGTAATTTTACGGCAGTATACCGTTTTTGGAAGTGAAAAAGACAAAAAAGTGAATAACCGTAAATTGACATTCCCAGAATTCCCTGCATTACATTTCAAATTTGATGGTTTTTTGTTG